TCTGTGCCCTGCCAGCTCGCAGTGCGGCACCGAGGCTTCTCGACAATTGAATGTGGTGAAGCATGAAGGATGACAAGCAGGGGAGGAACAAAAAAACAAGACAGAGATTGCCAAATGAACGATAGGGAAAGCATCTTCACTACGTCCTAAATGGAGGATGCAGAGAATTGAATTCAGCATCTGTTTCCATTGACCAGGGATGGTTGGGGGGATCCGAAAAACTTGTCCCATGATGGCATCCCAGGCTTAGCATATCCAGAGACCACACTTAAAGGGGCCTGGCCAAATGTGTTGAAAGGCACAGATTTAGTTTCAACGGCTATGTCTACATATTCATATATATGTATACATATACACAATATAGTCATATATATATATATACACGCAATTATATACATAAGAAAGGTGTATATATATATGTACGTATAAATATGTATATATATAATTATATATATTCATGTGTGTGTGTCCTTAATTACGGTACGGAAAACAACAAAACGCGCCCCCCTTGTTTCCCCCATTTCGGTTTGGTTGCCCGGCTTCTTTTTCTCAAACTTGTGCTCTTCCTGGCAGGGTCATCTGCAGACCTATGGGTTTCAACATGTGACATTGGGTATGGAGCAGTGAGTTGGCGACTGTGAAGATTTTGCTGAAATCTTGAAGTTGGATGAATTTGAAGTAGCTCCAAGTGATCTTACCAAAGCTGGGATCAATCTTTTCAAACAGCTTAAAGTTGGAAGAAATAGAGAGGCATCCAAGACCTCATTGTCATTCAATGTCCATGTCAGAACAACATGAAGGCATGTTCTTCGCATGCAATCTTGTAATATCTATATTTATATCTATATATATATTATAATACTTTTGTATGGTAATCAAACATGGCTTGGTGGAAACGCCCCATTCATGACATGCTCTTCCCCTTGAAAGCCCGAGTTCCCAGAGGATTTCCCAGGCGGCTCCTTGATGTAGTTCAACTCGGAAGAACGCTGTTTCAGTTCATCCTTGGCTGAAGATGATGATCTCATCTGGGAGTGAAAAACAAAACCCAACCTGATTTTTTGTACGAGAAACTGGTCTGTTCACATGAAAAATAACACAGACGTCAAGTTTGCTGGAAAAATCATATTATGGATGTCAACTCCGTAAACTCCAATCATCATCCCAAAACAAGCACGACTTCAACAGAGTGGGAAGGACAAAAAAGTTTGACTTCAACAGAGTCGATACTTCAGGTTCCCCAAAATCCCAAAAAGGATTCCGGGGACATCACATGTATTTACATGTTGGATGAAACTCTCCCTCAATATCCCGAAAACAATTGGTATGATATGGTATGATCTTCCAGGGATATATCATAACAATTCGGCTGGCCATGGGGATGACATAATTCATCCAGATGACATGATCATCATGATCTCCGGATCCCATTTTACTCTCGGTGGTGCCCCATACTTATCTATACTTTGCTAAGTTGGTTTATAAGCTTTTATAACTCCAATAACTGGTGCTTGTCGTAGATACATCGAACTAGTTCATGGGGGTTGCAAAATGTTATAGACCGACAAGCATCACTGGGAGGCGCAGGACCCTGTTATGGCGCGAAAATAGCAGTTATAAGTCAGTATTAAATCATCGATATTTACGGATATTTATGGAATGATCAGCCCATTTATAACCACAAACAACACTGATATTTCGCTGTATTTCGGGCGTTCATCCTCATTTTCCCATGGTTTTCGCATGGTTTTCCCATGGTAAGGTCGCCATGGTAAGGTCGCCGAGCCACATCGAAGGCGACCCGCCGCTGTCGCAGTCGGTCCAACTGCTCCCTCTTTCGAGCGATGTCCGACCTCGGAAGGCTGCCAGCGTTGCCCGAAACTCATGGTGAATTCATGGTGAATTCATGGTGAATTCATGGTGAATTCATGGTGAATTGATGGTGAATTGATGGTTAATGGTTAATTAATAGTCTATAATGATGGTGAATTATGGTTGATGATGAATGATGGTTAATTTTCCTGGTGCCAAACGCAGGGAATTTTCGGGAATGATCCATTTCATCACTAGTAATCATCCCAGCAACCCCCAGCAACCCATCCAGCAACCCTACGTAAAACGCACCAGTAAGTAAATAACCAAAAAAAAAATATGGCAAGAAACCAGACTTTCCCCATCTTTCCCCATCTTTCCCCATCTTTCCCCATCTTTCCCCATCTTTCCCCAGTCTCAAAATATGTAATCCAACCATCAATTCTGCCATGTTTGAAACCGCGGCCAACCACCAATGGCGGTTCAATGCATTCCGCGTGGCTGACTTCGGCTACCCCAAAAAGTAAGTAGATGTCAATAGCTTCAGCTACTTGCTGTAGTCTAATGATGTCTGGCTCTCTGTCAAACAAGTCAGAGTTATAGCATCCATCTCAACTTACCCTCTGGTTATTTAACATAGCGATGGAAAATGGCCCGTTTATAGATGGTTTACCCATTAGAAATGGTGATTTTCCATGGCTATGTTAAATAACCAGATGGTAAATCATTCTAAGAATTCTAAGCAGAACTTCAACAAAGCCCTAGAGGCCCGGACACCCCTTGCCACTAACGCCCAGCTGCTGAAGCTGTTTGATCTGATTCCGCTCTTCCGCCAGAGTGGCCTTCGAGCGGACCCTCTGGTACACTTCACATAGCCATGGAAACAATGGCCATAGTTTAACTGGCAAATCATCTATGGGCTATTTTCATCTATTGTCCATATTTAATGGCCATGTTTATTATAATTGGTAAATGAATAATGTAAATCAGTTATGGGTTATGTTCCATTAATATGTCAAATTACTGGAGGCGATCATCGATTCTGTTAATTCACATGGTTATATGTGTAAACATATGAATCTCTGAATCACGGCCCAAAAAGAAGACCAAACAAATGAATTAAATGAGTTGTATTGCTGTTCTATTATATATCTTAGAGGATTCTATATAACCAACAGAGCGTTTCTTGTTCCTTCACAGATTTTCTAATGAGACCAACAGCTATTGTCATACTTGGATATGCATCCCACCTAGTAGGTGGTTTATAATCCATATAGAACCGATATAATCCCATATGTAATCATATATATATACATATGGGTATAACTCATTTACTAAGTGGGACACACCTTCAAGTAGCCCCATAGCCAATAGCTTTCCACTGGCACCTCCCCTTCCTCTGCCATGGTTCCTTAGCCATCGAGGTCTTGATGTGGGAAGGGATTACTTTTTTACTCCTAAGATGTGGGTCATGGGAACTAACTGGTACTCAGGAGTACCAGTAGCCATTCTGGGATGGCCAATGATTGCCAATGTTGAAACTCAGAGTACATCATGTAAAATCCCAACCATTTAAGTGGAGTTGAAAGATACTTTTGAGAAACTAAAAGAATCCATATAGATATTATAAGTACAATTTTAATATCAATTTATCATACATACGCCATAGATATGGATGTTACATCCCTTGTGGGTCGGAAACAGAAAATACCGCCCCACCATACCGTGGACACCGAGAATCCTCACCTGCGACTCGACTCTCAGCGCCGGAGGACTTTCGAATTCTCAGCGCCAAAGCATCTAGGGGGCTGACCTTTTACAAAGTGCTGACGCCCTGCTGACTTTGCCAACATTTCATGGGATGATTTTGGCGACCACGGATGATGAATTATATGAATTGCCCAAAAATAACCATCTGTTCCAAAAGAATTGCGACTTTCGTTGGAACAGATGAAATAATTTTTTCAATGCTCTTGACCTTGCACAGATGTTTCACTTTGAGCCGCACATGTTTGGCAATCGGCCCCGCGCTTGCGACTCTTTTGCTCAAAACAATGAAACAATTCTGGAAGACATCTTGCATCTGGGACCCCCAAAAGATCACAAGTACCAAAGCGGACCATTTTAGGAGAGAAAGCGTGCTGGGTTTTGAAGTTCCAGACTTTCCAAACATACAGCCATTGAAGCTCTTTTCGCATTCGGTGCATACGTTGCAGATGGAAACATCTAGAACTGTACAGGGACGTCCACCTGGGATTGAGTGGTTTCCCTCTGGCAGCTGGAATCCACTTAAAAATGATCTCAGAGTCTCGCCAAGTCCAAGCCCAAGTCATGACATTCATCCAGGACTCGACTGGGTGATGTGTGAGGAGATCGCCAGGGAGCCGAAAATAAAATCAGTTCACTCCCGGAACCAGTTGGCTGGTCATAACACAATTGATCCCCGTTTTTTCAGGGTAAAAAAGAAACTTATGTTGTGAGAACTTTCTCGGCTATCACCAAACTCCATCCATTCTAATTTGTCGATTTATTTATCAGTATGGATCCAAACACCTCCTGAGAAGCTACGGCTAACCCCCAATCATACCCCAGTCACACTTCCTAAGAAGGTATGGCTGGATCCATAGGGTATGACTGCTGGTTATATCAAGTTATATCCATGCTTTCAAGCCACCAGAAAAAAGGTTTTCCCATCGTCACTCGTCTTCCATCTTGGCAAACTCTTCGGATCATCATAGAGAGCCATAGAACGGGGCATCTCCGGCACGCCGTGCCACCGCGACTTAGCGCTTCTAGACCTATCGTAATTCTTCGCGTTAAGCAACGCTTCGGGATTAAACGGTGGAGCACCCCAAAGGTGGGGATACAGCAGATGTGCCAAAATGGATATGCATATTTCCGCGGTGATCCGGATGTGTGGTTTGATCCAGGCGTATTGAGAAGGTATACTAAAGTGGCCTAGTATAAGTACATTTTGTCATTTTGGGTATATCAAGGGTATGGATCGGGGCTATAGATCACCTATTGGTCCGACATTGGTCAAGGGTATGGATCGGGGCTTTCCATTTTGAGCCGCGGCCATATAATATCATATTCATCTCTATTATATTCTATATGTGTATGTTAATTATATGATATTATATATATATGTTATATAACATGGGTCTAGTCTAGTTTTATATAATTATCCCCACTTTTGGACACCACATCTTTTAAACGGCCGCCCTCAGGGCAAGTTCTTGGCACAGAAGATGCTGGTGACCAGACGTCGTTGGAGCTGCTGAAAGGGACTGAGACCAAGGGCCTTCTGGAGGGCCTTGCGTCACGAAACAGCGAAGCATAGCGAAGCGTCAGAGGATTATAATATGGTTAATATGTGGCTAATATACTGTTAATTTCATGGTCAATGATGATGATTATTATATGGTTAATGATGGTTAATAATAATTACTGGTTGGTGGTTGAGCCCTACCCCTCTGAAAAATGATGGAGTTCGTCAGTTAGGGGTTGCTATTCCCAACTGAATGGAAAAATAAAAGCCATGTTCCAAAGCACCAACCAGATAATAATGGATAGGTACTTGGTGGTTCATGCCAGTGGCTTAGTTCACCCCAGGGATTTTCGTGAACTAACCCTACTTAGTAAGCGCATTTATCAGGCTTAGTTCACCCCAAGTAATGTAACCAATTTGGGAAGTGGCTGAACAGCTTCAAGCAACAAGTTTCTTGGGGATATGAGTGGATTTCACATCTTGGAGTTCACGGAGAATGGCGATGAACAACGTCGACGTCGCGTATGTTCATGTCACTGTCGCGACGTTCTGGCCACGAAAAATCAACGTTTTTTTCCTAAACAAGACGAGGCTGGAATCTCAGCTCCGACCATAGCAACAACCCCAAAATCCGATCCAGTGAACTATCACCTACCCTCTGGTAAACTATAACATAACTATGGAAAGATCCACCATTTTTCAATGGGTACATCCACTATTTGGACTGGGCCATTTTCAATAGCGAACTATTAGTTTACCAGAGGGTATATCTATTATATATATCCAAAATATCCCATTAAACCCCATTAAATCCCATTAATGTGAGTTTACCAGGCCGGGTAATCCTAATCTCTGCAAATATTAGCATTTGAAGTGGCTTACACATCCAAGATCATCCAAGGACTGGCGGAAGTCACCGAAGTCACCAACCGTTCTGGGGTATGGTCGTGGATGGGGTGCACACCAGAATGAACAGCTACTAAAAAAGGGAGTTTTCCTCGGTAAAATCACGGGTTTTGGTTGGATATCTACATCGATGGTATCATTCCCATAACGTCCTCATGATGTCCTCATAATGATAATCCCCATTTAATCACTTGTGGATCGATGACAAACCACACTTCGTGTCATTACCGAGCCTTCAAGTCAACCAACGGAGTCATGCATCGTCTTCGGCCGTTGAAGACATTGCAGGCCTCTGACGATTTTTGTGCAGCCAACCTGCGGTTTGCGTCAAAAAACGTGTTTTTCAGCGGCTGGAAACCACGAAAACCTCCGTTTGGCCAAAAATAGGGGATAACCATGTACGATGCAATGAGGATACAAAATTATGGAATTAATAACCAGCCAAAGATCTAATATAACGACAAAACGTAATAATTATTGCATTTGTCCAAAAATCGGGCAAACCCCAAAGTGGTTACATTCAAGAAGAATATGCTGGTAAACCACGCGATTTTGGGTACCCTATTTTCAAAGAAACCGAGAACTTCTGTTGGCTACTACCACCAGTGTCTGTGCAGAAACTGAACCTAGTGACCTAGTGTGGTAAACTCAAAACCAGAAATCATAGCTACTAGCTACGCACTTTGGGCTTTACAAAGCTGATTCACGAGTTTTTTTTTGTAAAGGGTCATTGGAAAACCACCGTACTTCGTTTCTTCCCGTCACCAGGAGAGAAAAACCCCAACTTTGAAGTTGATCAAACCCATTACCCTCCGGTAAACTAACATAACTAATTATGGAAAATCACAATTTTCAATGGGTAAATTCACTATTTCTATGGCCATGTGAAAAATAGCTATGTAACAAATTGCCAAAGGGCCAAAGGGTAACTATCATCAACTATAGTTGCATCAAGTTGCATCCCCCATCAAAACCCTAGCCAACCAAGGCAACCAAGTTGTAGACCAACTCTTACCGAGGGGTGCCCAACTTGTAGCTAGATGTGTTTGTGATTTGATGATCTTTGCTTTGTTGTTCAGCCACTTCAAGAATGAATTCCATTGGTCTCTGCCTTACTGGTGCTTAGTAGGGAATGGATGGGAATGGGGGAATGGGATGATTATTGATAGTTATTGTGGATCATTCCCTCATTCTGCAAAGCACCAGTAAGGTTGTTCAGCCACTTCAAGAATGAATTCCATTGGTCTCTGCTGTTTGGTTAAAATATGTTAAAACATGTTATGAAAACCTTCACATGGAATGGGTCAACAGCGGCCCGACCCAACTGTCAACTTCTGCTATAGGGGCCCATTGGTGTTGGTTTTATCATGTGTTATCAACTTGTTGATTTAACTTTTACACACTTTTACATGTTTTTTTCTGGATGAATTATATATCATAATTCGCTATGGGTCAATACACTGGTACCTGAGTGAACACAATAGTGGCTATGTAAATGGATATTCATCCCCCAAACATGGTAATGATAGGTTTTGACCCATCCCCAATTCACTCAACCGAAAACTTCGGCCACGGGGATAGCTTCCCCGTTACCATCGGCCAAGCAACGCATAGAGCTCTGAGGCCTTGCGCGGGAATGGAGGATCTTCAGGACGTCGGAAAAGCAACCTGACTGCCCAAAGCTCCCCATGCCTTAATGACCATGTTTCTATACATATATATATATAATTATGTATATATGTATATACAATATCATTGATATTGTTCAATTATGTCCATTTCATCAGGAAACTTTTCGGTGTTTTGCACTTGAAACCATATGAGTTGTGTTTTTTTTCCTTGCTAAACTGCAATACACAAATTAGGACACCTACGCGGGGCCTACGCAAACCACTCCTCCCAAGCAAAACTGCCTACGCGAGGGTTACCTTTCAAGAAGTGCCTACGCGGTTGCCTCCGCGAAAGTTGCTGCAACGATCTCTTTACTTGACGTGATGTGATCACAATTCTGGTTCAGAAGAGGAATAGAAAGAATTGGAAGATGACGATTCTTTGGGTGACTTGTGAAAGGAAGGCGGAAGCCTCATCAAGAGTGGAGCACTGTGTCATGATGTGATCGGCAGTCATGATGAACTCATGGAAACATTAGAAAAGTGAAACGGTAAGACTTTGATGGGCTACGGCTACGGGCCACAATTTGACCTAGGGCCTCCGCGTTTCCTACGCGAGGGCCTACGCGGAGCCTACGCGAAAATCCGAACCGAAAATGGCTGTTCGAAAACTTGGCACTTGTAATTTTCTGAAAAAGCGATTGTTTCCTTAATCTCCCCTGTCTAAACATATGAACCATACAATCCAGTTTGCATTGTAAGCCACCACGAAAAACAAGAGTTCGAGGTCAGAAACAAACAATCTAGAACATCTAAACAAGTGCCTACGCGAGACTGCCTACGCAGCCTCTCCTACATTATCCTACGTATATGCCTACGCGAAACCTACGCACCAAGCAGAATAGCCTACGCATGAATGATGTGAGTTCCTCCTCAATCTAAATTCCATCATCTGGAAAAAAAACGTGGCTCATATGGGATTCATGGGATTCGGATCGAAGATTTTCCAACAAAAAGGCCGCCATGGCCCAAGGGACTCCAACATCTCAGCAATTTCGGGCAATCTCAGCGTCCGCTCATCCAAAAGATCGAAGAGTTTGTTCAAGGCGCCGCCTCACTAAAGTCACCAGTGGGCCCAATAACGGGCCAACTGGGAATGAGTCACCACAGGTTTGTAACTGGCGGTGCCCCTGTTTGTTGGCCAAGTTGCTAACTCCAGTAACGCCAGTTTACGATAGATATAATATATTGATATATACCGGTTGGTGGTATACCTACCCCTCTGAAAAATATGAGTTCGTCAGTTGGGATTAGTCTTCCCAATATATGGAAAAATAAAATGTTCCAAACCACCAACCAGTATATGTGTATATATATACCCTTCTACCTACCCTGTGCACATCCACCCAATGGCACCTTCGCGGATGCGATGCAGCAGAGGGGTGTAGGCAAACCAGCCGTTGCCGATTGCATGGAGTTCTTTGGCTTCGCCTGTCAGGTCGTCCTGTGTTGGCGAGGTGTCCATCATGAACATCATGAACGACACGACGACACTTGGGGTATCTTGGGGTCAACATCCAAAAGAAAATCCCTACAATGTGAGGCCCCCGTTCGATAGCTAAGTTGGTGCCAATAACTCCAATTTCACTATGGTTCATGGTATTTATAACAAACTAGTTACTGGGGCTTTTGTTAACCAATAATAAACATCACTGGGGGGCCTCACATTGTACCATAACCTGCCCATCTGCCCTTTCTGTTTTGGGAACCAATTGGGATCCACAAAAACCACAAAAGTGCGAAGAGTGTCCAAGATATCCAATGGAAGCTCCAACTCTTCATCTATGCGATTGTAGTACTTCACCTTAAGGCAACTCCCGCAGACCGAGAACGACGGTCCATGGGCATATTTTGGCATCCACCGTGACAAAGTTTTGCTGGTACCCGGCCTGGTAAACGTTTACAGTTCGCTATTGAAAGGCCATAGAAATAGTGAGTTTTCCCATTAAGAATGGTGATTGTCCATAGTTTTTTGTATGTTTACCAGAGGGTAACTTGACCCAAAAATGTGATGGTTCTGAACGTTTTGTGGGTGTGACTTCTGTGACCGAATGCGGAACATGACGTGGACGTCTGAAAAAATGGACCCATCGCCAGGATCATGTCACTTAGTAACTGCTGTGTGACCATATTAATTACTGTATCCATGTATACATGGGATGACTTAACAGGAATCGGGACTTCCCAGGGCTATGAAAACCAGCGACCCCGTTGGATGCTCAGTGGCAACTTCATCATCGTCTGTGGCGAGACGAATTACCACGAAAGCGTTCAACTGGCGGACGAATTCCCGAAGTTCCTGCCGCTCAATGGGGGAGCCAATGACATTGATGGTTTAATT